GCTCCGCACGCCGGGACGGCGGCGCCGCCGCCGCCTTATACCGGGGGCGGCTCCGGGGCGGGCCGCCCCGCCCGAGACGGTTCCCTGCGGTTGCACACATTTGCGTGCGTTGCGCATATTTGCATACATTTCCATAGCTGCGGCTGTGCTGCCCGGCAGCCGGCTGGGTGCATTGGCGGGGCCACCGAGGAGCAGCATCCCCCGGGCCCCACCCCGCTGTCCCTGCCTCGCAGAGGCCACGGGAGACCCGGGGGTCCCCTTGAGGGAACGGGGGCGGGCATAAGGGTGGGTCTTGCTTGGCTTGCTGGTCTTGGCAGAGGGGCTTCCGCTGAGGGGCGGAGATGGCACCTTCTTGCTGGGTGTCCTGCTGGTGCGAGACACCATCCTGCCATTAGCTGGGAAAGGCTTAGATGAGCTGAGGAAGGAAAGTCAGCAAAGAACCTGGCTCAGGTTTTCCCTCCTGGTGGGTCGAGGTGCCGATGTGGTCCGTGGGAAAGCTGCCAGCCACCTGAGGCCCCCAAGGAACACCCAGGAGAATTTCTGGAGAATGTACTTCAGAGACAAGTACAAACTTTTCTGGCCTCTTTGGAGCTCAGTGAGGAAAAAGCAGAAAAATTCTGTCATGTCCTTTGCAGCAAGCCCCTCAAGGACGCTTGTGCCCCAGTGCTGTGTCTAAAAGCCCTACCTGCGCAGGGCTCCTCCTCCTCCAACTTGGCTGCTTTATGGAATGACCAGTGAGGGGATGGGGAGAGCTTGGAGCACCTCAAAGGGGGTCTCTTTGTGGTGACTTCACTGATGTCTGGTTTTGCTACAATGAATAACATGTCCATCCTTTCTTCCCCCCCTCCAAAATACTCTCAGCATCCACTGCAGTGCAGAACCAGCCCCACCTCTGCCCAAGCTCTCTGACTTAATGAGTTTTCACTGAAAGGTGCTGTCATCTCTCAGCTCACTCTGAAACTCGAAAGCTGGACCTAAATTATCCACCTACAATGGCCTTTCTTTGTGCCTGAGTCACCTGGAAAGTGTCACCTTCACTGATGAACACGTGTAAAGTGACTGAAAGCAGCGGTACTGCTGTGAAGCCTGTGCCTGTGTCTAAGCAACACATTTTTGAGACCTGCAGAAATGGCTGAGCCAGACGATCAGAGTGCATTTAATCAAACTGGTGAACAAAGGGTTTTTTTTTCTACAGACATGCCCCAGGTTGTGAGTGCTGCTGAACCTGGACAGGATGCTGTGGCGACTAGATAACTCTGGAAAGGCCTAAACTCCTCCCCGTGGTATAAATGTCCTTTGAGTGACCTCAGAGATCACTAGATAACACAGACCATGCTGATGCAGACAGTCCATGAGAGTGAGAGAGTAATTGGTATCACTGAGGCATCAAAATTTGAGCCCCAGAAGTTAATTGTTGTGAAAAGGAGTGATGGGATCATCTTTCCCTGTGAAAATCATTGCCAAGGTGCTCACTGAAATGCACGTTGAATGCCAAGGCGTCACTTCTGACTGGGTGTCTCCTACTACCCTCCTTACTTCCATGGTGCCAATTAATTCTGGGTCATTTATAGCATGAATGCTTTGCAGTGGTGGTTGGAAGCACAAGCGTCGGAGCTTGGCAGTGAGCAGCACTTCAGGCGGCTGCGCAAGGCTTGCATGGTTCACCCAACTTTGGAATATTTGTATGACAATCTGGTGGCACCTCAGGGTGTAAAATGATGTGATATTTCTCCAGGAGATGCCTGGATCTGTTTATATACCATTCTGGTAGAGAGCTGAGAGTGAAATGTCTCTGATTCATCATTGCTGCAAATACATGCTCACAGTGTAAACAACCATTCAGATGCTGTTATGTTGAATGGGCAGGGCAGCAATGACTGACAAGAGAGCTGTGAGTCATTCGGAGCTACGCATCTCCATGTACCTGATTTGAAAAGCCCGAACAGATGTCTAAGCTTTTTTGAAATGCGTAAGAACAGCTGGCTAAATCCAGGGAGCACCAATCGGCTGGATCTTGTCAGTGACTAACTGCTCAGCAGCCCACCAGATGCTGCTAGCAGCAGCCTGCAAGCACACTGTGGAGGCTAGAACAAGATTCGTCCCGAGGTGACCCCTCTCTAACAGAGATGTTATCCACGTGTCTAAGAAGACCCTGCAAATGTTTTCAGACCACATCAGAAATCACAAGGTTGCAAGAATTGCTTGGGAAACCCTTTCATCATTGCTCACAACAAAGTTGGACCCTGCATCAGCACGCAGAGAGGTACAAAAAGCAATCAAGGCAAATTTTAGGCTAGTGAGTCAGAACTCATCCAACTTTTGATAGAAGAATGGGAAAAACAAATTGAAGATACCCTAGGGGCAGAACCCTGCACACTGCAGGGGAAACCCCTGCTTGCCACTGCCCATGGGGCCCAGGAGATCAGCCCTCCTGGTACAGGAACCACTGTCAGCAGAGCTTGCAGTTACCAAAACAAAGCCTCTCAAATAGCTGTCTTCCAGAAGCATGTCAAAGTCTGACACACCTAAAAGCACCCAGTGCTGAAACTGAGGTGGAGATAACCCATTCAGAGTCCAGCCTGGTACATCCCATCCACACCCCAGTTCCCAGCTCTCTTCACTGCTGAAAGCCCAAACTGTTGTTCTCATTTTTCAGACCTCAGCTCCACACAGACAGTTCCAGGCAAAGCAAACAGTGTCACAGGGCAGTTTGGGGACATGGCTGTTTTGGGAAAGTAGAAGAGACCACAGCTGTGCTGTGGGTTTGG